ACAAGGGGACATTTAATTAAATTAAAAGGTGGGAAACTCAAGAAATAATTTTACACAAAATGTGTGATTAAGCTGTGGAACGCATTGCCACAGGAAGTCATTGAGATAAAGCATTTTAAAAGATTTTAAAAGGGAATTGGATATTTATATGGATAACAAAAATACCCAGAGTTATGATTAATAACAAACATTTTGGAAAGGCTATTAAACCTCGTGCTTTGGAATTTAAGCCAATCTCTAACTATTCAAAAGCAGGATGAGATTTACATGGGGGCAGATTACCCCACATCTGCTTACTGAAGGGTTCTTGCACCTTCCTCAGAAGGATCTAGCACTGACTACTGTCAGAGACAGTATACATAGGTCTGATCGCATATGGCAATTCTTATGATCTCCTCTGTTCCATAGCTGCAGTCTTGATACTGAACTCCGCTTTGTCTGTACACAAGAGCCTTATTGTGTGCCCATCTAGTTGTAGTGTCCCTGTAAAGCACAGCTGTCTTAAAGGTCATGAATGGTGGTCTTTGAGGCAGCTTGCACTCATCCTGTTATGTGCCTTGTGGACCAGGATCTTAGTCACTCCCACAACAGATAGGCTGGCAGTGGAGCTCTCAACACAGTGCTAGGATTAGGGCCCTACCAAATTCACGGCCATGAAAAACGTGTCACGGACTGAGAAATCTGGTGTCCCCCTGTGAAATCTGGTCTTTTGTGTGCATTTACCCTATACTATACAGATTTCACGGGGGAGATCAGCCTCTCTCAAATTGGGGGTCCTGACCCAATAGGGAGTTGCGGGGTGGGGCCACAAGGTTATTTTAGGGCGGTCGTGGTATTGCCAGCCTTACTTCCGTGCTGCTTTCAGAGCTGGGTGGCAGGAGAGTGGCAACTCTTGGCCAGGCATCCAGCTCTGAAGGCAGCACCCCACCAGCTGCAGCAGAGAAGGAAGGGTGGCAATACCATACCATGCTACCCTTACTTCTGCACTGCTGCTGGCGGTGGCGCTGCCTTCACAGTTGGGCTCCCAGCCAGCAGCCGCCGCTCTCACGCTGCCCAGCTCTGATGGCAGCACTGCCACCAGCAACAGTGCAGAAGTAAGAGTAGTAGAACCGCAACCTCCCCTGCAATAACCTTGCGATCCCCCCAAAAAACCTCCTTTTTGGGTCAGGACCCCTAGAGTTACAACATCATGAAATTTCAGATTTAAATAGCTGAAGTCATGAAATTTACGATTTTTAAAACCCTATGACCATGAAATTGACCACCATGGACCATGAATTTGGTAGGGCTCTAGCTATGATGTGTTCTTGCCTGCGTTTGTTGGCTAGGGGGAGTGCTACTCCAAGCTGTATGAGCTTTTGCTTCCTGGTGGAGGTCTCATTTATACTTACAAAGAGCAAGTTGCAATCTTCTTCTTCAGCTGTGTGCATGGGACCAAAATCATAGGTAGCATAAATTTGCTCATCAAAAATATTTTTATGTACCGCAGGTATGCATCAACCCTGATGGGGTGGTCGTACTGTATCCAAAGAAGGGAGAATTCTATCAGAAGCAAGGCAGTCACCCCACGTCTGCCTTCAGTTCAGTAACATTATTTGAACACGCTCCCGAGAGCATGCCAGGGAAGTACAGCAAGCAGGATTTGGCCCATAAATATAATGAGCTGATAATGGACTGGGCATCCCTGGCTAAAACATAACTCACAAGTGAAAAGGGGCTCTGCATCTTGTGCAGTTGAACCAATCATATCTTATGTTGCCTCTCCTAAAGGAGCCCATGTAATGTTCCATGATTGATACAGAAACTATTAGCGATAGTATTCAGACTAATGGGAAGGCCACTGTGCCTAGGCAAGGATGGTCTTGTGGCTGGGGCACTGGACTGGGACTCACCAAACCTGGATTTTAATTCTTGACAGTGACAGACTTCCTGTGGGCCCTCAGGCAAGTCCTCCCCTCTGTGTATCAGTTCCCCACCTATGAATGGGGATAATACTTCCTTTCTCCCATCCTCTGTTTGCCTAGATTGTAACGTCGTTGGGACAGGGACTGTCTCTTACTATGTGCCTGGCACAAGAGAGCCCTGATAGTGTTTGGGGCCCCTACGTCATACAATTATACAAATAATAAATAACAGGGGAGGCAGTTGGCACGGATATAGACCGGACTGTATCTGTTGTATGGAGAAACTAAAGACTTCAAGCTGCCAGGTCTGCTGACTTGGAACTTCTCACAAGCACTAAAACTAATTGTATGGGGGGTAGGGGTAAAAGCATATAGTTAGTATAAAAAGAAAACCCATCGTCTAGAATTTTCTGATATGTAATGGAGCAGCCGATTGGAACACTTTATTGTTGATAGCACTAGCTCGATGTATGAAGATTTTGCCAACTCTGTGACCACGAGTAAGGAACAATTAGCATCCAATTCTTTGAAGAGAAAGTCTGGTGTCTCTCAGGCATCATTTTTTTCTCAGATAACATTCATGTATTTAATTTTAATTAGTTTTTCGAAAAGGCAGCTTCAGCCTTTCAGATCTATTGGTATTGTTTCCCTACTTTCTATCACTTATTGTGGCTCACCAGAGACCAAATAAAATGACACAGTCATAGTGTTTTTCTCAGGATACTATTTTATGACAGGCGGTCATAATCCATGAGTGTTCCCATACACCATGCTCCAAATGTCCTGCTGCAGTTCTACAAAATCTCATTAACTGAAAATTCCCTGGTGAATAGAGTTTATCTGGTCTGATTTTCCAGCTACCTCTGAATATTAAACCAAACTGTGAGCAGGATACCTTTAATTTTCTGGACTTGAGCAGCCTATTACTAAACTCCAAAAAAAATAGTAATTAACAGCCTGACATAACACAGGGAAGCTCCTGCTCTACAGACTAGTTTTACAAGGAAGCCTCTGTCCTTTGGAACCCTCTGCAAAACAGGAGGTACCAAAAATAATACTCCACGGAATGTTCTAAAGTGCAAATGTCTGTTAACACAAGAGCACTGGGATTTAACAAGAGCCAGATTGTACCTGATTCTTGCCCATGTGTGCCGGGCGGAGGAAAGACACAAAAAGCTTTCCCTAACTCCTCTTCTGCAGTGGGCAGCACAACTGACTGGATGCAGAGGGCAGCAGGACATTATCCTAAGAGGTGGCGCCGTATGCACATTCCTCCCCATACACAATTATTTTCCGATCCATTTGGTATAGTCAGTGCCCTCAAAGAACCACTCGCCCTAAGACAAGGGTAGCTTGCCTAGAATTTTTTGTAACCAAAACTTTCCACATCACATGGGGGTCTGATCCTGCATTCCTTATACTTCAGCCACCGTCAATGGGAGTTCTGGGTGCATAGGAAATGAAGGATCCAGCCCATGATGAGTGCCATATGATTTCTCATCATTTCTGGAAATGTGGTGCTTTCTAAGAATGACACGGCAGTGACAGCAGCAAAGAGTCCTGTGGCACCTTATAGACTAATGCTGCTTTTACAGATCCAGACTAACACGGCTACCCCTCTGATACTTGATGGCAGTGACTGTGGCACAAGATATTGCCAGGTTGGCACTGTGGCAGCATTCACAGAAACACTGGTACTTTCAGAAGCAACACAGCAATAAGGCACCCACCATTACTCCGTAGATTGTGTGGCTGATTATGGGTATAACCATGGGTATAACCACGCAGATACCCATGAGTACTGAGCATTTCATCACCAGCTAATGTTTCATACAAGTGTCTTTTGAAGGAGTTGGGGTATGGGTTAAATACTCGTTGCTCATAATAGGGCTTGTCTATACTGGTAAAATGCATCATGTTAGAAAAGTTATTAAACTCATATTGTTTAGCTAACATGATGGTAAAAAAAAAAAAAGTTTGCCCTGAGAGGCCATGGGGTAGATTTTTAGAGGCATAAAGGACACTTAAGCACTTTATTGAATTTCAATGGGAGTTAAGCACCTATGTGCCATTTCCATTACTTGCGTCTGATGAAGTGGGCATTCACCCACGAAAGCTTATGCTCCAATACTTCTGTTAGTGTTAAAGGTGCCACGGGACCCTCTGTTGCTTTTTACAGATTCAGACTAACACGGCTACCCCTCTGATATGTGCCATTTGACCTTCTGAATATCTACCTCCATGTCTACCTTAGGAGAAATATGTATTTTAACATGTGCTAGCTAGCACATGGTATTTTAATAAGTATTAGTCAGCTGTGTTTGCTGGTTAAGCTAGCTTGTTTTAAAATACGGTTGCCCTTGTCTACACTAAGGACAAAGTAGCGTTTAACACTGTGCTAATTAAAACATGTCAGTTAACACAATTTCTAACATGACATATTTTCCCAAAATAGACAAGCCCATAAGTTACAAAGTTTCTCCTTGGACAAAATCCTGTCCCCACTGAAGTCAATGGCAAATTCCCATTGACTTCAATTGGGCCAGGATCCCTGATGTTTAATATGGCACATTTATATGGCCATCTTCTGAGATACTGAAGCTCAGAATTTCTATTGATATCAATGGAAGCTGTGGGTGCACAACACCTTTGAAAACCTTTAGATACCTAAATATGGATTTAGGATCCTGACTTTTTCCCCCAAGACTGAAAATATTAAACTAAGTTTACAGTGATCGCTGGGGTAGAATATAGCAGCCAACAACACTAAACATCTTTTTTTTAGGAAGAGAGTCAAAAAAGGAACATCTTCAACTGAAGCTAGAGGGCGAAATTTAAGCAGGCAAATATAATTGCCTAATTCAAAATTTTCCCAATACACAAGGGCTAACACTTTCTAGGGATGATGTGGTCTCATGGTCTGAGTGTAGGGTAGGGTTGCCAACCCTCCAGAATTGTCCAGGAGTCTTCAAGAATTAAAGATTAATCTTTTAAGATTATGTCATGTGATGAAACCTCCAGGAATACGTCCAACCAAAACTGGCAACCCTAACATAGGGCGAGGAGCCTGGAATTTGAGAGTTCTAACCTCTTTACCTCTGGTACCCCTTGGGCTGAGAAGGCACTGTATGGTGGCACAATATCTGTAACAGTCTCATATCCTGGAGGGGGAGGCTCAAATAATGATGTATTGAAGATCTAGTTTGAAAGAAGAAAGAGACATAATATTAGAAAGAGGCACAGTCCAAATGGGCATATTTCTCAGATGGTTATGGTTTAGATCAATTTAGTTCTGCTGTCTAACCCAGGGTTCCTCCTGCCCAGCTATTGGGCACGCGCTTCAGGTTGCAGGCTTAAGCCCTGATCTTGCAAAGAGAACTAAGTAGGGAGACCCTGCACCAGCATGGAGCCCCAATAAAATATGCATGGGCACAGTGGTCCACCCATATGGCTCTCTCTGCACAATATGCAACCCAAGGTTAGACAACACAGTGGTAAAAAGATCTAAGTTTTGTATACACCACAGCTTCTACCAGCAAAGGAGCTGCCCTGGTGGTGAACTACACATCCAGTTTTTGCTTGTGTATATACAGCCTTAGTCCCACGCTCTAGCCCTAGACACACACGGCCACCCTTACAACTGCTAAGTTTGAACACAGCACAATTACCTCCACTGTAAGTATGTGACTAATGAAGCTGAACACAGCTTTTCTCCTTATATTTGGAGTGGTAGTTTAAAAATAACACAGTAATAAGCAGCATTCATGTAGTACTTCTTCCATCCATAGACCACAATACATTCTACAAATATGGGCAAGTATTAATAATATATGGAGATATACCTATCTCATAGAACTGGAAGGGACCTTAAAAGGTCATTGAGTCCAGCCCCCTGCCTTCACTAGCAAGACTAAGTACTGATTTTTGCCCCACATCCCTAAGTGGCCCCCTCAAGGATTGAACTCACAACCCTGGGTTTAGCAGGCCAATGCTCAAACCACTGAGCTATCCCTCCCCCCAATTGCCAATATATAGTAGGGAAAATTAAGGTACAAAAAGATTAAGGTCTCAGTTTTGGTCCAAAGCCAGTCAGTGACAGGCTCTTACCACTGACTTCAATGATTTTTGGATTGGGCCTAACGTGATTTTCATACAGTAAAATATTAGCAGAGTGGAGGATAGATTTCCCCTCCCCGCACCCCCAGTTTCTTATCCCAAGGTATATGAAAGTGAGTTTTTCCTCTTAGGGCTTGTCTACATGGGGAGCTAATCCTGATTAATTATCTATGTGGCCACTCTTATTCTGAATTATCTTAATTTTATCTTAATCCACTTAATCCTTCAGTGGACTAAAATAATTCAAAATAAGGCACTCCTAATCCAGAATAAGAGCATCCACAGAGTGAGTTAATAAGGATTAACTATTCTTTAAATTCACATCCTACTCTAATCCAAATTAACTTCCCTGTGTAGACAAACCCTGAGATGTAAAACCTGATGTCTTCTTTACCTCATTTCCATGCTCATCAATAATTGAGATGTAGTTGGGATTCGTTTCATTAGGGTAGGACAACAGGACGTCATAGTGAACCAGCTCAACCGAATCCAATCCAAATTCCTTCCACTGGGCTTGGATTTGCTGTGCAAGGCGCAGGTTCTCAGCTGTGCCTGCGAGGTGAGGACGCTGTGTAAAATTACTAGGGAAAGGAATGGGCATTTATTAGCAGTCAATACTAGGAACTGGACTTTGTAATTAGAAGTGAGCTTCTTGATTTAACTGGAAACAAGTACATTTTAAAACACATAAAAAGCCATCAGAACTGCCCAGAATAAACCAGCTCCGCTGTCATCCCTGTATTTATGGTTTTAAGTCAGTTTTATAAACGTAGAAATCAAAGACTTCAATTTCCCCTCAACTATTACCACCTTCCCCTTCTAGAAAGCAGTGCTGCCTTGTGCATAGATCACTACATTGAAATTCAGGAGACCTGGGTTCTATTCCCAGCTCTACCATTGGACTGTTAAATGAGGCCTTCACCACTCTGTGACTCAGTTTCTCCATTCCTAAAACAGGGATAATGATACTGACCTCCTTTGTAAAGCACTTTGAGATCTACTGATAAGAACTAGATATTATTATTATTATTCCTCTGTACTACAGCCGAACAAACACTGAAGAACCTGATTTACAAATTTACTCAAAATCTGATCTCTAAATTTGATTTGCTACTGTTCATGGGGCCATATGATATGCAATATTCATGATGGTCTTCCCAAGTCTTCATGAATTTTGGCACAAATTATTATTTGTCCAAAAAACACCTTCCCCTCTGGTGTCCAGGTCACCTCCTCTTGTCTCAAATAGGGAGTTGAGCGGGATGGGGGGAACCCGGGCCCACCCTCTACTCCGGGTTCCAGCCCAGGGGCCTGTGGATTGCAATTGTCTATAGTGTCTCTTCTAACAGCTGCATGACAGCTACAACTCCCTGGGCTACTTCCCCATGGCCTCCTCCCAACACCTTCTTTATCCTCACCACAGGACCTTCCTCCTGATGTCTGGTAACGCTTGTACTTTGCAGTCCTCCAGCAGTACGCCTTCTCACTCTCAGCTTCTTGCGTCTCTTGCTCACACACGCCTCACTAACTGAAGTGAGGTCCTTTTTAAAACCAGGTGCCCCAATTAGCCTGCCTGTCCTAATTGATTCTGGTAGCTTCTTAATTGGCTCCAGATGTCCCAATTAGCCTGCCTTAATTGGTTCCAGCAACTTCCTGATTGTTCTGGAACAGCCCATTATCTTACTCAGGGAAAAGGGACCTGCTTAATCTGGGGCTAATATATCTACCTTCTATCACTTTCCTGTAGCCATCTGGCCTGACCCTGTCACAGTATCTAGTGCAGGGATTGGCAACCTTCGGCCCGCAGCCCACCAGGGTAAGCCCCCTGGCAGGCCGGGCCGATTTGTTTACCTGCCGCATCCACAGGTTTGGCCGATCGCAGCTCCCACTGGCTGCGGTTCGCCGTTCCAAGCCAATGGGGACTGCAGGAAGCAGCGCGGGCCGAGGGATGTGCTGGCCGTGGCTTCTCGCAGCCCCCATTGGCCTGGAACGTCGAACCGCGGCCAGTGGGAGCCGCGATCGGCCGAACCTGCGGACATGGCAGGTAAACAAACAAACCTGGTGGGCCGCGTGCTAAAGGTTGCCGATTCCTGATCTAGTGCTTCCTTTGTTTTACATTACTTACTTAAATACTTACTTTTTAAATGACACTGATATTGCTTTTTGAAAATACTAGATTACGTACTTTTAAATACATGCCATCTGCCACATTTAGGGTACCCTTGTGTACAGTGGCATCTGAGCCCTAACCTGGGGAGAATTCCTGATACTCTAGTACTCTGATGAAGATCAGGCAATGCAACTTTTACAGAGAGCAGTTACTAGCCAAGCCCTAGAGTCACTATATTAGTCAGTAATGCAATATTATGTGAACTGCAGAGATATGATTGAGAACAACTTTGACCCTTGCTCCCTAGATCAATGAGAACAGAGTTGGCAAACTGAGCATTCTGGAAGACCCGTGTTCCTCTACTTTTACAAAGAATGTTTGTGGTTAACCCAACATTCCCTAAATAATATTAAGCCCATGTTCTAACATGGTGTTGTGGCAACTGTTCTGGTAGAGGTGGCAACTCCTGGGTGACATGTAGAACTGAGGCCCTGACCATTTGTGATCATTAAAGAGCCAGTCACATTTTTCATTAGAGTTGGGAACGTTTAACTCCCAGGATCTTGGCTAAGGTCCATTTCAAGTAATTGAATTCTCTATCCTTATATTCCCTTTGCTGTTTTAATTGGATGTTGTGTTCATTTCCTGCATCAATCTGCTGTTCAGTATTACTGTTGTGTAACTGCCACATTCTACCTCAGAGCTGCCTGCATTTTGAAAGCTGAGGCAGCAATGTTTGCTGTGGGCATAGAGATAGGGAGTTATGATGGCATAAAGCAATCCTACCGCAAGAATGTTTAGCAACCATCTTACTTTGGTAATAACCAAATCCTGGTTTAAAATTTTATTTCCTATACAATCCTGGGCATTTAGCCTGATCTTATTTAGTCCAGGGTAATTTAATAATTGCAATGGTTTGTGGCAAATGCATTTAACATTAAATCAGTGGAATTGCCATGATCTCATCAAGTGAGATTGGTTTTCTAAGAACATTTAAACCTAGGCCCAACCATGTGTTTTTTAAAAGGTTGGGAGTTATATGTAAGGCAGAATCCCTAAATCACTGATACTTCTTACACTTAATTACTAGCAATAAACAGAGGTCTCTGGTCTGTTCCTGACTGGAATTAATAATAACTTCTAACAAATGCTGGACTCCATTAAGAGACTACTAATAAATTTACCCAGCCACGTCACATAAATTACTAAATGTGTCTCAACTTTTCCCTAATTAAGGTTTCTAGAATAAATTATGGAAATTAAGGACTATTATCGGGTGTTGTTTTTTTAATCTATGCTCTCCCCCATCCCCTTGTACCATTGTCTCAATTTTCAGGAGATGCTAACAGCCTTCCAGCCAGGCTAACACAAGGACAAGATTATTTAAAACATTATGGACCAGATCCTCAAATCCAAAATCAGCGGGAGCTAGGTGACTAAATACCACAGACAATCTGGGCCTACCCTCCTAGTTAACATGCCTTGGGATGGGTGAGTGGAATAAGTCTTTTGGATTAAATGTATCCTTAAGAAGGAACTTGAAGGTGTGAGAACCACAGATTTATTTTGTGGTAATTGGTCAGATTTTAAATTGACCAGCTGGGGTCATCTCCAGATGCCCATCTCCAGATGCCCATATCAATTATTCTCATCACAAAGGAGTAGAGCTTAGAGGCATGTCAGAGAGGAGATTCCAGACATAGGGTCCACATGGAAAGAATCGCCAGAGTAAGAGTGGCAGACGAAAATGAAAAGGACATGTGACTTGGACATAGCAAATGTGAGTAGAAGACAAGAGCAGAGAGGTAGGAGGGGCTAACCTGCAAATAGTCTGGAAGGCAAGGACCTGCTGCCTGGTTCTCCTCCCATTTACACTGGTGTAACTCCGCTAACTTCAGTGGAGTCACTTCTGATTTAGGTCCCCGATCCACTTGTATATCTCCCTTTGAAGTCAGAGTATTGCCTGAAAATTGATGCAGGGTAAACACTCCCCTGCAAATGGAACCTGGCTGCAGAGGGGGAGGCTGGGCTGTGATGGGGTGGCAGCCTTGACCTCTGAGTCCTCTGATACTGTTCACCACCCCAGAAAAGCACAGAGTGAGGGTTTGACCACACTGAAATCATTGGACCTTGCTCTCTAGAGAGGGACCACTGTTTCCCACAAAAGTTACGAAGCAACAGGAGGAGCTGTGATGGGCTCCACTGTCAAACATGACTCACATGGGTATTTTAGACAGAGGCTATAACCCAAAGTCTGTTCACAAACCTAGTCATTGTACCAGCTGATCACAGATGAATGTTGTGGATAGAAGTACAGACTTCACTTACTATAGAAACTGCTTGATGTTTTCAGCTTTCATTTCAGCCATAAATGCCTTCTTCACCTTCTCATGAGAAATAGTGGCTGTTACCTCATCAGTAGGTTTTGTAAACCAGCCTGCAAAATACAATGATAAGCGCACTAGGAAAACATTATTTCTATGGCCCATGACAATATCCTTCAGTATCAGTTCAAGATTTTATCATGCCTTTTATTATTGGATTTATTACACTAGTGTTTAGAGGACCCAACCAAGATCAAAGTCTGATGTGCGAGACATTGAACCAACACAAAGTAAGAGAGCTTATAGCCTGGATAGATAAGATAGATGGAATGGGAAAAAAGGAAATATTATCCCTATTCATCAGTGCAACCCTACTTGACTGTGGATTTTGAAGAGTTCCATCTACTGTCCCATAAGCACCAGGCCACCAAATGACTAATCACCTTGGTTCAATTCATCTCAGCAGAAAGACAGCATCTTTAGAAAGATGCACAGAAACAAAGAAGGACATGGGTTGCAAGTTCATGGAGTGACATGTAAATCTCTAACTTTGGGCTCTGCATACTCCGGACTTTTCTCCTATGAAACATTCGTTATTATAACGTCTCCTTAAACAAAAGTTAACTGTTGTAATGATTGTTTTGTTTCTGATATTTAAAGGGCAAGGATTTGTAAACTTATTCAAACGTCCTAATTATTTTTTAAAAAAACAGTTAGAACAGTAAAGACAGAGGATGTGCTCCACCAGGGACATCTGGTTATAGAAACTAGAATTCCAGTAGTTCTGAGTTCCATTTTTTAAAAGAGCTCCCCCCCCCCCGCCCCACACACACACAGAGTTTTCTGTGTGAATACGGCAGAGATTACATCGGTAACTTCAAAATGTAGAAAGGGAAATATACAACAGGGGAAAACCCTTCAGTGACAGAGAGGGGGACTAGCACAACTTAATACATATGTCCATCTCTCTGAGCAGAAAATAATTGCGTTAAGGCTTTCTAGCGATACAAACCATGAATAAATGGCAAAGAAACCCCCAAGATTAAAGATAGGACTTTTTGGTCCTTTTCTTATACCTTTTTCCATTACTGCTCCTTTTTAACCTGTGGAATTGGGGGGAAATGGAAGTCTCCTATGGAAAATGCTCAGTTCAGTGGTAGGGAAGATGAGGAGTTAAAAGAAAAACCTCCAAAGGAAGAAGTGTATGCTCTCTACCAGCCAGTCTGTGGCTATTCATCTGGGGCTCTTTGTTTCAGTGTGTTTGTTTCATTCTTTCAGTGTGTGTCTCTCTTCTGCCTTTTGTTCTGTCCCTGTCTCTGCTATTCCTCTCCCTGACAAACTGTGAAACAATCACACCTAAAACACCAATTCCGCCCATCCCCCACGGCCACGCACTTGCTTGTGAGCTCAGTTGCTGCGAAGTCCGAGGTGTTGCATGGAGCGCTTTACCCTGCAGTGAGTGATTGCAAAGTGGAGCGGGCATGATCTCCTGGAGCAGTGGTTTTCAAACTGTGGGTCGAGACCCAGTACTGGGTCGCGGAATGTAAGGCACTGGGTCGTGGCGACTCTAGTCAGCACTGCCAACCGGGCCGTTAAAAGTCCCGATGGCGGTGCTGCCCAGCTAAGGCAGGCTAGTCTCTACCTGTTTTGACACTGCGCTGTGCCCCAGAAACGGCCAGCAGCAGGTACGGCTCCTAGGCAGGAGGGCCACGGGGCTCTGCGCGCTGCCCCCGCCCTGAGCACTGGCTCCGCACTCCCATTGGCCAGGAATCGGTCAACGGCAGCTGTGGGGGCGGTGCCTGTGGGCGAGAGCTGTGGAGAGCTGCATGTACGCCTCCACCTAGGAGCCGGACCTGCTGCTGGCTGCTTCCGGGGCGCAGCACGGTCCGCAGCTCCAGGACAGGCGGGAAGCCTGCCTCTGCTCCCAAGCTGCGCCAGTGACTGGGAGCCACCGGAGGTAAGCCCGCACCCCAACCCTGTGCCCCAATCCCCTGTCCCAGCCATGAGCCCCCCTCAAACCCAGGGCCCCCTCCTGCATCCCAAACCCCTCATCCCCAGCCTCACCCCAAAACCTGCACCCCCAGCCCAGAGCCCTGACCCGTCCCATGCCCCAATCCCCAGCCCTGAGTCCCCCCAAACCCAGAGCTCCCTCCTGCACCCCAAATCCCTCGCTCCACCCGAGCCTGCACCCCCAGCCCAGAGCCCTGTCCCCCTCCCGCACCCCAACACTCTGCCCAGCCAAGCCCTCTCCCACACCCTGAATCCCTCATTCCCGGCCACACCCCCCAGCCCTCACCCCAACCCCCTCATCCCCAGCGGGCATCAAACATTTTCTTCAACTGGGTCGCCAGAAAAAAAAAGTTTGAAAACCCACTGACCTGGAGAAGGGCGAACAAACCTCGCCTGACCTAAAGGGGCTCACTCCCTGTGTGGGCCTGTAAGGAAGCCCCCACCCCTTTTATCCCAGCCAGAGCCCTCCTCGCCTCCCCGCCCCAAAGCCTGGCCCCAAGCTCGCTGCACAGTACCGATGAGGAAGCCGAGCAGGAGCAGCGCGGCTACCCCCAGGCTCAGGGCACAAACGCGACCCGTGCTGCCCCGCGGCGAGGTCCGCTCGGCGCCGCTCCGGAGCGCGGTCCACATGCTGGCCCGGTCGGGCTGCTCTGCGCTGCCCGGCGATCCGGCCCTAAACTGGGCGCTGCCGCTTGTCCCCAGCCCGCTCCGCGCCGGGGCGAAGTCCGGTTCGCTCCCGCAGGCAGGGACGGGAGATTCCGGACTACGGCGCCTCCCTGAACCCAGCCCGGGCCCCGCCAACTCTCGCTGCGTGGCAGAGGCGCCTGCCCTGGGAAGCAGCGCCGCAAGTCTCCGGCCTCTTAAGGGAGCAGGAATTTGCAACGTGTTTCGGTTAGAGACGGGCTCAGATCAGCCCCTCCCCGAGTCAAAGGCCCTGGGAAGATCCGGATCCTGAGCCAGACTTTGCAGCTTCTGCCTCTTGCGAATTGAAAAGAAGCCGGGAGACAGACATGCGGGAGAGGGAGAAGATGATCTGAATGGGGTTTGGGGATAGTAGCGTGGCCGAGGGGCTCTTTCTCCAGTTCCCTCTTTTTACATACCCCACTGCCCCTCTTTCTACCTGTTCGCTCACATCCCACTTGTTTATGTCTGTCCATCCACTCTGACAGGCTTCATTTCTGCCTCTAGATAAATTCCTGGAGGATAGGTCCATCAATGGCTATTAGCCAGGATGGGCAGGGATGGTGTCCCTAGCCCAGGGGTGGGCAAACTTTTTGGCCTGAGGGCCACATCTGGGTATAGAAATTGTATGGCAGGCCACGAATGCTCACGAAATTGGGGGTTGGGAGCTCAGGCTGGGGTTGAGGGCTCTGGGGTGGGGCTGGGGATGAGGGGTTTGGAGTGGAGGAGGGTGCTCTGGGCTGAGACCGAGGGGTTCAGAGGGCGGGAGGGGGGTCAGGGCTCGGGCAGGGGGTTGGGGCGCAGGGGGGGAGTCGGGTGCAGGCTCTGAGCGATGCTTACCTCAAGCTGCTCCCGGAAGCAGCGGCATGTTCCCCCCTCCAGCTCCTACACGGAGGCGTGGCAAGGCGGCTCTACATGCTATCCTGTCCACAGGCGCCCCCCCCCTCCAGCTCCTACGCGGATGCGTACTGGCGGCCAGAGGGCTCCGCATACTGCCCACACCCCAAGCGCCGCCCCCTGCAGCTCCCATTGGCCAGGAACCTCAGCCAATGGAAGCTGTGGGGGGCAGCACTTGGTGCAGGGGCAGTGTGTGGAGCCCTCTGGCTGCCCCTACGCATAGGAGCTAGAGCGGGGACAGGCCGCTGCTGCCGGGAGCCACGTGGAAAGCCCCCAATCCCACACTCCGCACTCCCTCTTGCACCCCAACCCACTGCCCTGAGCCTCCTCCCACACCCCGCATCCCTCCTGCACCCCAACCCCTTGCCCTGAGCCCCTTCCTGCACATTGCACCCCCTCCCACACCCCGCACTTCCTCCCAAACCCCCTGCCCCAGCCCTATATTCATGGCCCTGCATGCAATTTCCCCACCCAGATGTGGCCCTCTGGCCAAAGAGTTTGCCCACCCCTGGTCTAGCCAAACAATTCCAGATCATGTAAAGCGGGGTAATTTGATAGAGGAGAAGCCGGATTGTGAATGTTGCTGGGGGTTGTTAGGTCTGTGTGTTTTCTCAAATGATCTACAGGCCTGTTTGGGGGCCCTGTGCTAATATTGCATTGAAGCTGTTTTATATCAAATTTTGTAATGTGTCTAGAGCCATAGACAGGTGCAGTGACCAAGTCTGAATAAACAAAATAAGTAGACCACGGGGGCATTATGAGTTTAATTCAATAATATTTGTCTTGCACTTTGAGGTTGGTAAGCAGAAGCTGTTATGTAAGTGCAAAAGTGTGATATATTACACTCAGGATTATAGAGTTCACATGTGAAACCAAACAGATAATTTGGATAGGTGGAACTGGCACAAGAATGAGGGAAGTTAATATTTCTTCTCCACCTGTGATCTAGCAGAGAACCTGTTACCAAACTCTACCAGCTATTCTAATTTGTTAGTGAAACATGGGGGTGGAGGCAGAATGACTTTTTTTTCCTTTATTTTTTCCAACTTGAGTAGTTTGAAGGCCAAAAAACCTGTTGTCTGTTAAAATGCAGGACACAGATAATCTCTTAGCTGGGATCATTCAGTCTGGTGTCATTGGCAGGATACAGTTTTCCCTGGTACAAATAAAACCACTTCTGGTTAATTCTATTATTTGTTTATTTGTATTGCAGTAGCACCTAAGAGCCTAGTCATAGACAATTAATTAATTATAAGTCTGCAATTTTCCTTTACAGTGGTTGCAGAGTTTCTAGTTTAATTTCTGGTAGAGGTTGCGGCTGTGAGCATGTTATTGTATTAATTTACTCTGAATAAAGTTCACGAATCTTTGCTCTATGGGGGCTCTCTGATGGAGTGTACCACCCATTAGAGTTCCAGAGCTAAACTGGTGATGATGACTAATGCAAGATGCTCTAGAATTCGTCCACAGAAAGGCCAAGGTTAATAGAAAAGCCTGGGAAACCACTGAAGCTGGCTAGCCTGCCTGCAACCTATTTAAGGAAGAGTAAAGGTATGTCTACACTGCCTTTAAACCGCCCCTAAACTGAGCCCTGCAAGCCTGAGTCAGCTGGCACAGGCCAGTCCTGGGTGTCTAATTGCATTGTAGACATACCCTCTATCAGCTGCTGGGTGTGGAGACAAGAGGTTGTTTTGAGAGCCTGGAAGGTTAATTCTGCCCTAGCAAACAAGTCAGCTGAAGAGACTGTGAGTTTGTTTTTGTTGTCTATGTCTGAATTGTAGTTTCTGAAGTAGTTCCATTTACTTCTGGGGGCAACTTATGGAGTAATGTACTACCATTCACCTGCAGTCAGGATCAGCAGCTAGCCCTGTATCCCTGTGTATAAAAAGGCAAGTATTTGCACTTCCCATCTCCCAGGAGTGTTGTGAAGATTAAATTTACTTTGAAAATGTAAAGTAGTGTAAGTGCCAAGTATTATCCTAAAGAGCCCATTAATTAAACCCGACACGTCCTCTGGGAGATAGGTTATTGTTACATGCTTTATGGATGAATTAAAGGAGATGTATAGAGATTGTGTCAATAGGACAGCAGGAAATGAAACATAGGGGACGCATACTCCTACCCTCCCTCAACCAAATTTGAGCCACCCACCTCCCATTTTGTACCTGTCCAACAGAAGGCACTGAAGCAACTTGTGACTTTTTTTATTACATGCAGATTTTTTCACTCCATATCCCTTTCCTGATGTATTTACAACCTAGGTTATAAGCTCCTTGGGGCAGGGCTCGATCTGCACACAGGACGTAGACTTATTGCAACACCTAGTGCTTAGGTGCCCTGCTGCCTAGTGGAATCCACAGTCTCAAGGAAGATGCCCAGGCTCCCATAGGAGAATTAGGTGCCTAAGATTGGGATTCTCTGAAGACCGCAAGCTGAGTTAGCCAATAGGAAATACCAAGGAAAGGAGCAGGGCCAAGGCCCGCTCCTCAAAGGTAGTTGGTGCCTAACTCTGGGGTGAAGGGAGGCACGTCCTTCCACTTGGGGTTCACAACTATAAACCCTCTCCTGGAATTAGGAGACTAAGTCAGGTCAGTCCTTTCTCCCCACCCCCTCAAAAAAAGAGAGAGGCCCCACACCCTTAGAGTGAGGACACTCAACTGGGATGGAGAAGACCTGTTTTCAAATCCAAGCTCTGCCTGATTTGGAGGAGGGACTTGAAACGAAGTCTTCCCATCCCAGGGGCTGTACAGACATTCTCTCTCTGCCCTAATGATTAGTGAATTATTTATACAGAGTGGAACAGCTTCAACAGGAAAGAGTGAGAGAGACCCAGGCCCGAATACCCAAGGCGCTTGCCTGGACGGTAGGAGACCCAGGTCTGAATCCTTGCTGAGTCTGATTTGGAGCAGGGGCTTGATCCTGGGACTCTCAGAGGAGTGCCCTGGCTATTGATATAAACACACATACATCTTTTGTGTGGCTTAGGTCATGCAGGTGAAATAGGTGGCAAATCGCCTCGTTTGTGAATCTAGGCATGAGCTAGGGTGCTAAACAGCTTGGCAGTTTTGCACATGCCTAATGGCAGAAACATTGGCACCTACAGGACTTTACTGGTGGAAACAAGTGCCTGCGGAATTTAGGTACCTATAGGGATAAGCGGCAGCTGAGTATGGGTTTGGGGGAATCTCATTGGCTCCTAATTGTTGGACTTAAGTGCCTAACGGCCACTTTAGTGCCTAAGACCCTTTGTGGATTAGCACTTAGTCATTTAGGAACATAGTTCCCATTGGTTGCTGTCAATGCTGATTCCCCACTCTGGCACTTCGAGTGCAGAAGGTGGGGGCCTGCAAGGATTCTAAAAATTAATACTGGCCACTCCAGGCTTGTATTAAACTCCCAAGGTTACAGCTTTTCTCTGACCTTGGATGGGTAGATGCTGCCACCACTCAAGTGCAAAAAAACTCCCCTTGGACCCAGGAAGGCACACTTGGGAATTCCTTCCTGTGGTGTACCCTCAAGCCCTTTCTCACACACACACACCCCGGGAAGAGCTGAGAAAGAAAACAAAGGAAATCAGCTGTTGCCACCAGCTACTTAAACAACGTGCACAAACCTCTTAGGAAACCAAAAATCCAATCCTGTTCTTAAAAAAAGTAAATTTTATTAAAAACAAAAAGAAAGAAAATACATCTGGATCTTAGGCTTTTGCTAGATTTAAAAATACCACTTACAAAAATTAAACATAAAGAATAACCTTCTTGAGGTCCAGCTTAAAGGTTACAAGTAAAACAAAAGCATTTGAGTTAGCACAGAGGAGTCCAGTAGCCATAAGAAATAAACAGAAATAAACCTAATCACATCTTTCTAAACATTCCTGATCTACTTACACATCTGGGGGTTTCAAATAAGTAGCTCTAGGTATGATCTGATGATTTTTCATACCTGGCTTAAAGCTTCTCAAACTGCTGCCCTGTTCCCCTCTTCCCTGGAGAACAACAACAGACAAAGCGGGAGTCTTGTTTCAATTTTAAAAAGTTTTAGCCATCCCATTGGCTCTTTTGGTCAGGTGCCCGCTCCCTTTCTTTTACTTAGCCAGGGAGGGAGACTTTTTAACCCTTTACAGGTAAAGCAAGCAGAGAACAACTACCAAGAGGGACTTTATAGCTAACTGGCTGGTTGGGTGTCCATAGAAGGGAGCTACCCCCTGCTTTCATTTATCACAGCTGCCAATGAGACTTAGGTGCTCAAGTCGCTTAAGCACGTCTGAAAATGTTGCCCCATTTCTGTATTCTATCTGTAAAGTGCCATGCACACCTCTGGCACTACAAGCAAACGTTAAATTGTATTAGTACATTTCTTCCAACAGAGCCTCTCACAACCTGCAGAAGCAGGAATGCTGCTGATTTGGCCTGTGGTGCTATAAGAGGAACTTTGTGTAATGATAAAAATCAACCTGGCCAATGACTTTCTGATTTTAATTTCACTCCTAGGTTTTTCATTAGTTATATTTATTAGCCTTCCTCTACCCTCCACAGTGTGTGCTTGGGAGCATGTGAATACTTGCATTGCAAGGGTAAAGTCTCAGCCGCAGAGATTTTACTTATATAAAATAAAGAAGATATGCTAGCTTCTGCTGATCAATTTTACAGTAGCT